GACGGGTAGGAAGGGCGAGTAGGATTGTAACCGCGTCTTTACGAGGAAGAAGGGGGAGCCGGCTGCTGCGCCTAGAATACCGGATGAAGCGCCTGCGAAGAGGTTGATGCCGAAGGATTGGACGGCTGGGTCGCTGTATACGACATTGGTGAGGGTCTTGCGGATGGGTTCGTAGAAGCCTAGTCTGCAGCCGTTGAGGGTCATTTGGTAGATGTACTGGGCGCGTCAGTTTCTGCTCGTTCCGGAAACATGTGCCAGACATACTGCGCATCCCAGACCGCGTAGTAAACCTCTGGGTCCTTCATTCTTCAAGATGACGCTCACACCGTGGAAGACGCCCTTGTATAATCGCGGCGCGTCGCTTTTCGCTTTAAGCTCGCCTTGTAGTTGTAGTCTGAGCGATCGTCAACGAGCTGGTCGCGCAGGTGCTGCGAGCGAAGACGCGCACCGGATTTTGACGGTCTCGAAGCCGTGGGTTACTGTGACTGCACCGCATGCTGCTATGCCGCCGGCTATGAAGGAGCTGGTGGGGGTCATCGTTAATACAATTAATACTGTGTTTGAATTTTATACTGAGTACCTACCCGAGGGTTGTAGACATTCTCACACTCTATGCGACTCTTCGGCGCGCAAGTCGGAAGTATGGTGGAGTGCGTATTCGATAGTGGTAGCGACGTGGGTTACCGCGCGATCATGAACACGACTGGAGGATAGTTGTAGGAATTAGGGATGGAAGTAAGACTAGGCGAAACCGAAGCTATACACGTCTTGCGGTAACAATGGCAATGGTGAGGAAATGTCAAGGTGAATATGAATAATCGTTCCGGTTTCGGCTCGGCATGGACAGCTACGTAAGACCGCTCGGACCCACTTCTTTCCATCTGCTGCAACTCTTCAGCGCATTCCGCCGGCTCTAATTGTCCACGTCGCGTCGCGTGCTTGAGTTTACGCGCCCGCTGATTCGCCGACTGAAGCGGTGGAGATGAACGCAGTTGTCGCAGCAGAGGATTAGGAGCTCAACTCGAACATGGCTGGCTCAGCGACACCCGGCGGCGGGCCTCCACCGCCGCCTGCAGGCCCGCCGACACAGAAAGTTGCCGACGTCATAACGAGCTTCCGGCCGCAGAGGGTGAGACTAGAATACTATACCTTTGTATATGTCCAGTACTAACATCTTGTAGCGCTTCAAATCGGGCGGCCAGGGCACCTCAGTAACGTCCCTCGACTTTGACGACTCGGGCGAACTAGCCATTGTCGCGCGCGACGACGATACCCTCCAAATCTACAACTGCAAAGAAGGCAAGCACGCCAAGGAGCTCAAGAGCCAAAAGTACGGCGTACACCTTGCGCGCTTCAGCCACCATGCCCAGAGCATCATCTGCGCGAGTACAAAGATCGACGACACCATCCGCTTCCTCTCCACACACGACAACTCGTACATCCGCTACTTCAAGGGCCACACCGACACAGTGACCTCAATCGCCCTGTGTCCGTCCAAAGACGACTTCATAAGCTGCTCGAAAGACAACACGGTGCGGTTATGGAACCTGCAATCCCCCAACTACGTCGGCATGCTCAACCTCCACGGCGCCTACCTCGCTGCCTACGATCCCTCCGCGACCGTTATCGCAATCGCATCCCCGCCTACACAGAACGTCCTCCTCTACGATATGCGCAACTACGATAAGCCGCCCTTCGCAACATTCGACTTGCTCGAGGTGGAGCAGCGCTTCATGGGAGGACAAAAGGTCGAATGGACCAAGATTGAGTTTACAAACGACGGAAAGAGTCTCGTCGTGGCGACGAACGGCAGCGGCCATTTCGTGCTAGACGCCTTCTCGGGCGATCTGACGCATTTCTGCTACCGCAAGGCTGGCTCCTCGGGACGTCTCCCGCCCGGCGCATCGGTCACGAACAAATCCGGTGCCAAATCCGATGGCAGTGGTCCTGCAAACGGACAGGGCGACGTGTGTCTCACGCCAGATGGCAAGTTCCTCATCGGAGGTAGCGGCGAGGACGGTCTCTTGGTGTGGGATATTTCGAAAGCACCAGCGCCGAACAATATGCTCGAGCCTATGGAGAAGCTACCGGGACAGGGCAAGAGCGCTGTTGTGGGATATAACCCGAGGACCAATTTGCTGGCGAGTGCGGATAAGGATTTGTATCTTTGGCAGCCAGATCCTGATCTTATGATCTGAGACATTCATATCAGGGATAGAGCCACACATGAAGCAGGAAGAGCATCATAGGAGAAACGGCAATACAGGCAAGCTTCGAGACAAGGCAGCAGCATCGAGAGCTGCTGATGCGACTACACGTTGACCAGCACGCTGATCATCTCAAGGAAGCAGTGTGATCGATCTCGCACTGAAGGATACATACTCTCCGGGTTGACAAAAGTACAGGAAAGAGACAGTGTGTTCGTGGAAGGGACCACGTGGACACCAACAGAGTGAACTTGGTTGGAGACTCGACTACGTAGCGGAAGTAGTTGAGCAATTTACGTCTTACCAGCAGCCATTAAAATGGGAAACAAGCGGAGTGCATGTCTACCTCTGATCTAATGGCTCATCACCCGCAAATCACATGAGCATACTTTGTCGAACACATGTCAGTGTACATAATAGCCAAATCCTCTGCTGGAGCTTTTCTCCGTCACGAACTTACCATGATCTCAAATACCCTTCTCTCATCTTCGCTCTAATTACCCTTTCGGGCTCTACTATCCCTCACTCACCGTTCAGACGTCAATTGCCAAGAGCGGGACGGGACTGTCCTCCCCCCTCGGCCCACTCCACCGACCAACACAGCACAATCGCCCACTACTGTATACTCGCGGATCCTGATCGACTTACAAGCTCATAGCAAGCTTTGTGCCGCAAATCGCATCTCGAGGAAGTGTGTTGCCGAGGAGCTTCTCATTGGTAATTTCACCTAGACTAGGTGGGTGGTGTACCCATCGCGATGTGGTGTAGGTGGCGTCCATATTGCTTATTCTCTCGGTAAAACGAACGAGTTCTCCTTCAAACGACGCACGCTGAGCCTCATCTTCATGCATGGCGCTACGGATGCGGGTTGGGCTGGGCTGTCATGCGTTGCGTGAATTTTGTTGTTCAAGACGAAGGAGCGTCAGTGTTAGGCCACCCTCTTCTCACCGCAGACAGCAGCACAAAAAGAGAAGGCGAATATGGAGGTCGCCGATGTGCGAGCTTGAGCATTAGTCTTTTGGACACGTCGAACGAGACGAGCGAGATTAGGGCTCGTGACGACTTGCAGATTTAGGATGGGGTGGGCGAATGGGATGAGTGTGCGTGTGTGTTGTGCAGCAGTGCGGAGTGCAGCGTGTGCTGCAGATGCGGTGTAAGCTGGAGTGCAGGACTGGAGAAGGGGAAACGAAACGTAAGGTTGTTACACGAACAGATGGAAGGTCAGATGTGGAGCACGACATTGTGAGGTGGCTGTTGTTCGTGAAGCGCCGTGGTCCGCAGAGGCGGAAGGTGTTCTCCGCGGGCAGAGTTGCTGACATCAAGACAGGTGAGATAGACGTAGGAGCATCGTCGATCGCATGTGAAGGAAAGAGGCATCGCGCATACACCTCCTCTACGTACATTCGCCTTTGAGCGGTCTGCTGTTACGATGGGATCTTGGAAATTGCTGCCCAGTGATCCGGCATCTTCGTCAAGACATGGAAGCGACTGCCCCGCTATTGGGCGATCGTAAATCCCATGTCGTGCAGCTCAGCTCGAGGGGAGCCGAATGCGTCGCACAACCCCAGGGTTCTCGGATCGTCGGTGCCCTAGACCCTGTCAGACTGTGCCTCGGACATCGAATCTGCCATTCGCTGCGTCGTGGTTTCGTCTGATGGTGTACGCGCGTGTTGCTGTCATCTGTCTACATTCGACAAGGTTAAACCCAGCTTTCTCCAAGTGATGACATGGCCGCAAACTCTTCCTGCTCGATGGCGGATGGCAAAAAGCGTGATGGTGCTCTCGTTGGCTGCAGCTGAAGGATTCGGGGTCTGGGCTGATCGGCGGCATCTTGGGGAAGAGCGACAGGGTTTGACAGACGGGAACCCCTGAAGCTTGAAGCCTCACTTGAATCAAGTTTGGGCATGGAGACCTTCTCCGACCGGCCAGCGCCCATCTCCTCCTCTTCAGTCCGCGTGCGCCTCTTCCCTCAAACACGAGCAAAAAGTCCCGTTTTCGCCTCCGCTACGACGTGTTGCAGCCTCACAAAGCTGGCCTTGACCGATGCTGCGGTCGAGTCTTCAGTGGTTAATCCACAGAGTGCGTGTCTGGATGCCGTGGCTTGCAAAGACCTTCTCACGTTGTCCAGTAAGAAGATGATGTGTGCATGTCACTAGTGGTAGTGTGGCAGATGGCTACTGGGGTTCTCCGCATCTTGCCCATAGCGCTGGGTCATCCGCTCCTGCACCTCCCTAGCGATATTATTAGCCCCTCTTCTGCATTCTGCACAAGACAGAATACCACTTTCATCGTCGCCGACTGCTTACTCTCTGGCACCGACATGTTCCCTCACTGGCGACCCTTTGGCTTTCGATATTAACTCGCCCAATCAGTAACTGCGTCACGCGCATGCTTACTTCGCATCTCGTCTCGGGCTCCAGAGGTCGTCTCGTGACAGGCCGGACCTCGATATTGCACGCTTACACCCCAAGCTAAGATTCGCCCTTCGTTAGCACGGCGTCTTTGGCTCCACATCCATCTGTCAACCTCGCGCCGTATCCGCACGGCATACCGACATTTCGACAGTCTGAACTAGCACCATCACACCTCGCCACTGCTAGATCAGGATTGCTGTGCGAGAATGCCGATTCGCGTCACCAGCTCCATCTCCCGAAGACAGTGCATGAAGTTGGGCAACGGAGGATGATGCAAGCCCCCACTGAGCACGCAACATCGCCAACTCGAAGACTCGAAAACCTACTTCCTATTGGACAATCGTCTACTTTGGAGTTCAATATACTTCCTCAGCCCACTATGGGGCTTACCTTTTTGCCTCGCCCATCGCCGTGCGGATCTAGGAAGCGCAGTCGAGCGGTGGCGGATATCGATGGCGAACATTCTTGTGTGCAGAAGAAGAAGCGGCGCCTTCGATTGTTCCTCATCACTTCACGACTATCGCCACAGTTTTCGCACCCAGCAACGAATATTGTGGATCGAGGTAGCTCTAAGATTGCAGTATGGGCCAAGCAAAAGGCTCTTGGACGAAACTTGCTAAGAAAGGCTGCCATCCTCAATGGCATACGCAGACGATGCATCGTGACCAAGGAGGCGCAGTACGGACGCGGTCGTGTGCCAGTTGAGCAGGAGAAAGAACAAGCACAACTTGAGTTGGCGAGGCTAGAGTTCAACCATGGCAGTGTCGACACATATACGAGACCGGTACATTCTCGGGATCCCTCAGTACCGCCCAGTGCTGCTGTGAGGACTGGAGGACACTTTGTAGTCTCTGGGTCACCCTCCAGTTCTCCAGCGTCTTCGAGAAGCCCTTCGCCTACCTCGCCATCCCCAACATTAAGAAGTCCCTCCGACGAAGTTGCCGCGTTCCGCTCGCCAAACGAAGCATGGTCTCACGCTGCAAGAGACCCGGCACCACGTCGAGACTACCTACCCCTACCGCCATCTCCGCTTGGACTCTCAAACTATGATGCTCTCGACGTTGAAGATAGTGGTGATGCGTTCGACCCGTACGCTCATCTTGACGACGAAGATGAGCCGATACCAAATCCATACGAGGATGACGATGAGGTGCCTTTCTCGCCTTCTGCCGTCACTTCTAGTTCATCCACCACAGCATCCACCAACACTACACATGCCACGAGCATGTTTTCCGAGTTCAACGTGTTGGGCCACGAGGAACCAGTTGTTGGCGACTACGACCAGGTAGAAGAAGGCGCAGACGCGATATGGCCAAGCGCGTCTACCTTCGATAGCCCAGCACCCGCATTCGCGTCGACGTCGCCGGACTTTCCCGCCCTATTCGCAACATCGCAGTCCGCATCCAAGAGAACAGACTCATTCGCCATGTCGCCAAACTTCCGGCCAATCTTACCAACGAAATCAGTGTCACCGGAGATGCTCGCCGTGAACACCGCGGCCGCTACTTCGCCAAACTTTATACCTACAGCACGGACGATGGCTTCTCCTAATCTTGCCCCAACACTAGCGCCAATGTCACCAAACTTCCCTCCTGTATCGACATCGCCCAATTTCGCCTCGGCATCTGCGACTATACCTGCCTCGCCGAATCTGATGCCATTGGCTGCTCCCGCTTCGCCGAACTTCCTGCCGGTATCCAAGTCGCCAAATTTCACTGCGCCCGATACCTCGATGACAGCGCAGAACCCGACGGCATGGAACCATTTGGACAATCACCCGGACCGAGTAGATCAGCCAGTTCGCACGAGTGACGTGGAAGAAGAACGCAGACGGCAGAGGAACTTGATGTTTATGCGGTTCGGATCATGAGACTAGTATTCAACGAGCAAGTTTCATACGCGACAGAATCTACCTACCTACTGGATCTGCAGGACATATCATCACTATCGCATCCACCGAACGACGTCGCCTTTGACTTCTACAACATGGCGCATACCACACGTTTCGGACCAAACAAGACCTGAAAACTTAACTTTGCATCGCATTTTCGATCTAAAAAAGAAAACTTGTGTATATTATCAAAATTCTAAAAAGGGTCCGGAGTATGGGGGCTGGCGGAAGTCACAAAAAGGGAAGAAAAAACCGGCACATGGTGTTTGTTGTACTACTATATTGTGGGAAAAAGCGTGTTGTTTAGCGTTTCACGTCCAATGGTTTGGAGTTTGGGGAATTTCTCGTCGCAAAGTTCTATGTTTGGGCAGGGGTAATTGTATATGCAGGATCGGGGAAAGTGGGTACCTTTGTGGCGTTTGAATTTGCGTGTGAACGACCAAAAGAGCATGCTGCGTGTAGAATACCGTCTGATTCAATTTACGATGTGATCCAACATACCGAGAAACCTAGTTATGCCCTGTTTCAACTCATTCATCCCAGAAACTATGGCATCTTTTAGCCAACTCAGGAGCCTTCTTTCTGTACTGAAGTCGCATCCTACGCTTTCTGCAACTTGGTAGCTCGATCTAGAGCGATATCACACATGGCCTGAATGGCCTCTTGCCGCTCAGCCTTGATATCACCCCGATCAATACGCGAACGCATGTTCTCCATGATCTCCGATCTGGGGCGGCCGTTGACAAACACACTACACCATTAATTAGTTCACAACCTCCCAAATATGGTCTAATCCGAGAAGCAGAAATCAACTCACACATATCTCAGCCCCGGAAACTTCCCCTCATACTCCGCATTCAACCTTGCCAGCATCTCCCTCTCCTCATCCCCACCCTGCTGCAACTGCGCCTGCTCTTTCCGACTCTGCTCGCTATCCACCTTCTTCTCGCCCAACCGCGGGTGCGAACACAGAATCTCAGACAACTTCTTCACGTCGGCTTCGTCATCCGAGGCAGCTAGTGCAGCGAGCTGCGCGTTGACGGCTGTGATGAGGATGTCGTAGCTGGGGAAGGTGGCGGAGCGCAGCACGGGGAAGGTGATGGTGCGGAGGGGTGGCGAGGGCTCGAAGAGGAGGTCTAGAACGTTGGTGAGGGTGGACTCGGAGGCGTGGGGGAGGGTGCTGGCGGGTGGGAGTGATGTCATTGTTGGGGTTGAGGGTAGTGGCTAGTGGTTCGGGATAGCCGTTTATTGCTTTTCTCGCGATGCGATAGTTTGGGACCGGAGATTTGGCTAGTTGGGATTTGGAAACTCAAGGGTTGACGTTGGTGTTAGGAGAGTGTTGGTGGTGAGGCAGGAGGTTGTGGTTATTGTCTGTTGTTCCAACATTTTTTTCAGCGACGGCCGCTACCGACCGATCAGCGATGCAGCGCATGCCTGGTCATGGCCAACGACGTGCATGGTGTCTTTACGTGGGTCGCTGCAAGGGGCAAAGCTGTTCTGGATGGATAGCGGGGCAGCACCGAAGAGTTAGTGTCGAGGTAGTTGAGCTTTGCAGACGGACTGCCGTCTAGCTTTTCCTAGTCCGCGACGCGTACCGTGTTTTGCAGTAAACAATGGATGAAGCTTGTTTATACTGCACGGCGGAGTCGAGGGGCATTTTTTCAAAGGTCCGACGCGTTCCCACAGGCCCTCAACAAAGTGGAATGGACTGGGATGTCGTGTTATAGAACTTAGATTGACTAGTACAGCTGCGAGGTGCTGTCACGTCTGGTGATGCTCGGATTTGAGCTAAGAAGATGCGCATTGGGACTGCGATCGACTGCTGGGTTGGCAGCTGTTTGCTTCTTCTTCCCCGCCTTGTCATCGGCGATATACCGGCGGCACAAGCAATAGAAGGCTTTCATAGCCGTCAGCCCTTGACTGTCGATCTGATCGAATAGGGTGTGACCTGGGGCGCCTCAGGATTGCCGGCTGTACCTGCGTTGGTGAGGGTCTTCATGCGGGCCAGGGCTGTCATGCGTGCGAGTATCCGAGATTATCGAAGGATACCACGTGGAGACTGCATCGTATGCAATCGCGTGTACAACTTCGCGTCGCTCACAAAAACAAAGAGCAAACGGGCACACGTGCAGTGCAGTGCAAGTGCAGTCTGGGGAGTCGATGTCGGTGAGAAGGCGTGTGGAGCGGGAGGCGGAGATAAAGTGCCTAGTGCTCTCAGGCCATGGAGCCCCCTGTGTTTCAGCTCCACGCTCGCCTTCACTGCCCTCCCTCCAGCTTGCTCTTTTGGAGGAGACTGCTAGGCGCATTGCACGGCACAGTTCCTGAAGCGTCCATTTGCCTCGACGCCCAGCGCAGCAGCCCCAATGGCCCGCCGCCCCATGCGCCTCTGCCTCTGCCTCTGATACTCTGCCACCTCGGATCCCTGATTGCATGACCCCTACTAGCCCGGACCTCCTGGCCCTCTGGCGCTTTCAACATCACGACTTGACGACTCTTCGCCGCAGACACGCACGGCTTTGAGAGTCTGCACCCCCGAGCGTCGCTTTTCGGCTGACCTGGCACCATGTCGCTGAACGGACTGGACAATGTCGAGGTCACACAGGCGTACCAGGGTGCCCTCGCCGAAGCTGGCGGTTGGTACGACATCCCAATTTCTTCTGCGCACGCGGACCACGTGTTAACGTTTGGCATCTAGGTTCCTGCTCAGGTACACGTCAAGGGATGCCGTAGAGGTCCTGACCCGCGGCACTGGCGGTGCTGGCGAGGCGCGCGCTGCCGTCGCCCAGTACGAGGAAAAGTCACCGCTGTACGGCCTGCTGCTGTACCGCCGGCGCAAGGTCCTGGTCAAATATGTGCCCGAGGGGACTTCGCGACTGCTTCAGGGTATGTGGAGGCTTGTTCCTATCATGACCACGACTAACGCTCGACAGCCCGCGTCAGTGTCCACTTCATCAACATCACCGAGAAGTTTGCGCCCCACGACATCGTCCTGTCCATATCCACCCCCGAAGAGCTCAGCGATGCCGCTCTTACCGCCGCGTGCAGTCTGCACACCGCCGCCCCCTCGAGCTCCTCCTCCAGCGGATCGTCGCGACAGCAGAAGCTCAGCTGGATCCAAGAGGCCGCCGAGGAAGGTGCCCAGCCCGATGCAGACGGCAGCGCACGACCAGAAACTGCCAAGTCCAACATACCCACCATACTAGAGCCATCTAGAGACAGCGAAGACAATCTCACGAGGAGCGGGTCGATCAACTCACAAGCCGAGACGGTTCCGTTGATGCTGGACGAGAAGGTCATCGAGCACAAATTGTCACCACAGATCTCCCATGTCACCATGGAGACGGTAACGGAAGGGCCGACGACGCCAGACGACACCGATCTATCCGATCTCCAGGACACGCTCAAAAGCTACGACTCGCTCTTCGAAGGTGGACCAGAGCCCCGGAACTCTTCGCAGACTGCACGGCCAAACTACAACGAGCTGTACGAGCACTACTACGCGCAGTACACCAAGCCAAAGGTTAAGCTGGGACCGCGACCGCGGCCATCGCTCGAAGGCAGGAGACCGTCCACCTCGGGCAGTGCTCCGTCAGATCTGGCGAGACCGAAGTCATCGCTCCCGGCAGGTCTGCGCTCTGCGGCACGAAAGACAGCTGAGAAGAAAGAGTCCAAGACCAACGCCTCGAGCACCCTTCCCGCAATCGCCATTCCTCCTCCACACCAGGTCCCCCCAATGCCCGAAATGCCACAATCCCCCGCCTCGTCAGTATACTCCACGAGAGCCCCCGCCAGTACCAAGTCGATGCCCGTGTCCGCATACAGGAGTCATCTCAGGGCTGGAGGATCGACGCAGGAGCGGACAAGACTCATGAAGGCTCTCGAGATGCGCAAGAAACAACAACAGGCCCAACAGCTGAGGAAGGAGAAGGCGACTGAAGATGCTGCATCGGAGGTAGAAGTCAAGGCCGCGGAGATAAAGGTGGAGACTGACGCCGAAGATGAAACTACGACAGATGCGACCATTACTGCGACCGAGCCCGATGATGGCCCTTCCGCTGCACAACCTGAGGCCGAAACTGACGCCGACAAGGAGACCCTGCTTGGCGACGATCTCCCTTCCTCGTCACGTTTAAGCCGCTCTGGCCTTGCATTCGCTGATGGTCCTACCGAGACAGACGACTTAAACTCTACTGCTTCGATTTCGTCACCCGTATCCGCCCAGACCCACGGTTCCACCGGCGCACCTTCAACACGGCCGTCGTCTATTTCGGAGGACGAGGCAGGTATGGAAGAATCGCAAAAGTCTGACGAGCAAGAAGAGTCGCACAACGCGGATTTTGTGGACGAAGAGCAATCAGTTGACAGCACGCCGACTGTAGTTCCTGAGAGCACGACGCCCGTCCCGCCTGTAGAAGCACAGGAGATTGCGCAAGGCCCAGTAATTACCGAGCGAGCGCCGTCGTTCGATGACGCAGATGACAGCAGCAAGAGGGACACCCTAAGGCCATGGGAGAATGACATGCCATCACAACGCCGCTCGAACCGCGAATCTACTATCTACATGCCGTCGAACGAAGGGTACCAGCAAGAGGAAGGACAGTCCAAGAGACGCAATAGGGAGTCTATGCTCATGCCGTCTTCCCAGCATCAAAGTTGGTACGAGACCAAAGGAAAGCGACGTGCGGTCCTCGATCCACTCGAAGTCAGCGCGGACCAATCCGAGACCGAGTACCTGTCGGATGATTCTTTCATGGAGGAGCTGCAAAGCGCTACAGTACATCAAGCTAAGCCCATGTCGGTATCCAAGTCGCCAATCACCCCATTCTTCCCCAGGAAATCCTCTGCAACAGACCTACAAACGCCTCCTAGATCAGCATCGTCGAATTACCATGGCATCAGCCGCCTGTCACCTGAGCAGACTGGCCGTAAGATCTCAGGCGGTTGGCCTCCTGCGCCAAAGTCTGACTCCAGCACCGCGC